ATGGGACTAATCGAACGATACAAGCACAAGATCGAACTAGAAAACCCTAGGTCGATCTCACAAACCCCCAAGCAAGAAGCTATGGCGATAAACTCTCGGTTTATTCGATTAACTCTCAAAACTGACTATTACATCATGGACACGAACTTAAATAGGTAAAGTAAACTTACAACACAAGCAAACAATGTCCTAAACAAACCAGAACTCAAAGGAAACCAAATCCAATTCGAAAACAGAAAGAATTCCTAAACCGTGAACAAATCCTAATCCGAATAGGACTCGGATTGCTCTTCCTCCACCTAGTGTCGATACGAACTTGTGGCTGCTCGATCGAACACCTCCAGGGATCAAACCCTTCACCCAATCCCACGTCTCTGTAGAAGTAGATACGTATTTTCATGAATGCCAAGCCCAGCACCTCGACTCTCCTTCCTGCTCCTCGATGAGAGCTCCAAAGGTGGCTCATCGCTCACACTTCCACACTTAGCCAATTCTGGCAGTTTTTCCAAGAGTGAGCTAGCATGTTGGCCACTCTGAAATCCCATCTTCTGGTACTCCCCTTGAGCTCCAAAGCCTACCATTTGAAAGAACAACTCTTCCTCTTCCACGCAGGCCAAAGAACTTGAATTTCCATCACACCAATCAAGAGTTATGCTCGTCCAAAGTGGGTACCTGAAATCTTCATAAACACTTAGACAAAAATCAAAGTCCTTAAACGTGCCTAGCTTGCCTTCATGATCGATCAATTCCAATCAATTGAAAACCCAAATGGAGATCATATCAAGTTAACCATTTCTCCTCCCTTCATATTCCCATACATCATTGCCAAAACCTCGGACACCAAATCAAGTTTACTTCTTGGATCAAGCACACATGCTATATAAATTAAGTGGTTCACCTTCATGTTCTTCTCATTCACAACACATGACTCAAACCAATACTTTTGTACCTTTTCCTCAACCTTCTCAGCCACCTTTTGGATCTCTTCATGCAGATCATTCTTCAATTGCTCAATGATGTCATATACCGTAACAAGCTTCTTGAAGAAGATATGGATAGTCACATATTTAGTTCCTGTACAATGAGAAGATAACACAGAAGATTAGAATAAAACAAATAGAAATGGGCAAATGGCTAAAATTTTTAAATAAAACAATATAATTTAGAAATTTCACTTACTAGAGACTAGAAGGGTCAAGTCATTGAAGACTTTCAGATAGTCTTTCAACTTCCTAATCATCTGCCAATCTTGATTAGTTGGAAGCCCACCTCTTGAGTCAACATAATCTCTAAAAGAATGATCGTGTGGACTTGAATACAAAGTTGTAAACACTGCATCAAAACTTTATGCTGACTCTAACATGGTATAGGTGGAGTTCCACCTGGTCAGTACATCCAAAGACACCAGTTTGGTTGAATCCACATAGACCTGGCAATCGGGTCGGGTTGGGTAATTTTGGGTTGGGAATCTCGGGTTACGGGTCTTCAAGGGTCGGGTCATGATGGGTTTGCTGATTTCGGGTCAAATATTGACCCAATCCATCGGGTTTCGGGTTGGGTTTCGGGTCATTTCGGGTTGTGAGCGTTCTCAGAAACAATATCAAACATGCTTCATAAATTTTTAAAGAACACAAATTTTTACGTATGTGCGTCAATAGTTTACCTAGCACATATCAATTAACAAATGCTCAACTCCTTCCATGCTAATGAAAAGAAATACAAATTGCACAAATTGTCCAAAAATAATGACGAAAGTAATACTACTACAATAAACAAATGGTGTTTGATTATCTTAACACTCCAAACTTGTCTTTCAAATCCTAATAATTTTTTTTTAAACATCTCACCAAAGTATGAGTGATTTTATCATTTTGAGAGTGACATATGCAATGAAACGGGTCTAGGGGGTCGACCCAAAAACCAACCCGACCCAAAAACTACGGGTTAATCGGGTTCGGGTCATTCGGGTTTCGGGTTATAAAAACTTCAACCCATTCTCTATTTTTCGGGCGGGTTCGGGTTGGGTCAACGGGTCGGGTCCTCATTTTCCAGGTTTAAATCCACATGCAGAAATTCCGAGCCATTCTTGAACCGTAACAACCTAGCTGGTGAAGACCTCACCCACTTCACGCAATCCCAAACTCTGTCCACAACACCACCAACCACTTTCAGTCCATCTTGTACCACCAGATTAATGATGTGTGCAACACATCGAAACTGCAGAAACTTCCCATCCATCAAATCACACCCCCACTCCTTTAGCTTCGTTCTAATGCACTCACTGAGAACATCATTTGAAGTTTCATTCCATGGTCATGCAGAACAGATTCTTCACCTTCCACTCTTCAAGAGCTCCTGCAAGCTTCTCTGCAATATCAACTCCAGTATGACTTGTGATGGGAACAAAGGTTATCACCTTCTTCTGCAACTTCCAATCACCTCCAATAAAGTGAGCAGTAACACACATGTAATTCTTGTTGTTATCATAAGTCCATGTATCCGTAGTGATTGAAACTCTTACTTGGCTCCTTGATTCAAAAAAATCAATTAAATCCATCTTTTTATCCAAGAAGATATGAAAACAATAATCTCTTATAGCTTTTCTCTCGGGTATCCTAAACAGTGGCTGAACAACATACATGAATTGCTTAAATCCTTCCCTCTCCACAAAGCGAAATGACAATTAATCCATAATGATCATACTGGCTAATGCATATCTAGCTTATCCCTTATCAAACTTCCATAAATCACTTACTTGAACACCTTCCGATGTCTGCAATACTGTCTGATTTTTTGTTGCTGCCAACTTAGCCAAACATGAGTGCATGTGGTTATTCATTGCAGTGGTCCCATTTTTGTGAGGATGAGCTTTGATTAGAGTATGACACTGTATGCACTCTCCCATCGGGTAACTGTCAACTATCACCTTCTTAAACACCTTCCAACAAGGAGCTTTACCCACCGTCTTCAACCATTTCTCGCAGTAAAAAATGTCTTCTGTAGCTATCTCTGAATCAGGAGCGCCCGTGTCAACAGTAGGAGTCTTGACAGGAGTCTCGGCAGGTGTACTTCCACTATCGACAAGGGCGGGAATCGATGGAGTTGATGAAGACAGTTCAACTTCAGTAGCTTGAACAGGTCGACTTCCTGTACGCCCACCACGACCCCGGGTCTAAACAGGAGCAGTCGCACCACCACGACCTCGAGGAGCCGGAGGGCTCCCACCACGAGGAGTAGTCGCAGCAGTAGGGACACCTCAACCACGACCTCGAGGAGCTGGAGGTCTCGCCCTACAAAAACAATTACACAAATTGAAACTCAATTCAAAAAAATCATCTAAATTAGTGGCCATAACCACTAAACAAATAGCAATCTTCCTCTACATAATTCACACACATAACACTCATTTAATTATCATTCTCAATGATCAACTATCTAATCCATAATGAACGAAAAAAGTAGTTGTTTTCTACTTTTCTCTCAACAAAATACACAATAACTAATGCAGTTAAAACGAACAAGCTATATGTGCAACCATTGGACTTTGACTCTCTATCATCAACCTTCAACACGACACCATTTCTCTAGTAACAACAAGTGCAAGCATGTCCACAAAAGAAGGCTCACTATCCATTTCATGATCATCTAAATTGAAACTATGAATTATCAATTGCTGAATTATCCATCACAAATTCAAAACAAGTCTGAACTCTGAAGTCACAACTCACATCAGAGTGATCAAAGGAGAGGAACAGTGGCGGCTGCTGGTGGACTGGTCGGCGCGCGAATAGCGGCGGGGGACTATGGCTGGAGGCGGAGGAACGGCGGCGGAGGACTATGGCTAACGGCGTTTGAACGGCGGCTGCTGGATACTCATGGACTGGTCGGGGTCTCGGGGAGGAGATGGCGGAGCAGCAGGGGCGCCAAGCGCGGGTCGGGGAGATTCGACGTTGGCACAGTCCGCGGCAGGGAGCAGGCGGGCGGCGACAGGGAGTACTAGAGAAGGGAGTCAGGGCACTCGGGCGGTGGCAGAGAGTTCTCTTCGCTTCGCGATGCAGAGAAAAGAAGGGAAGGGGTTAGGGGTGGGCGGGTGGCTTCGATTAGGGATTTAGGGTCCTTGCGGCGTCGTTTTACGAAAAATGAGGGGGGTTAGATGTGGCGGTTAACCCCCCTCGGTTAACCACCACATCTAACCCCCCTACCGAACACCGCATGCAAACATAATTTTTGATTAGTCGGTTAACCAATAACCGCCGATTATCAATTTAACCGGACGGTTAACCGAGAACCGATAACCGAACCTCCAACCCTAGCTCTACCCATCCTCTCTCCATCTCTCTCAAAGTTTTTACGAGCCGCCTCTCTTTTGCTGTGGCCATTTCATATTTACCTTTCCTCTGCCTTGCTTAACAAGCAAATAATGCCCCAAAACAAATCAAAACCCCAATGATGGGGCCCTAGCTACTAGGTGTAACTAAAACCCCACGTCTACAAAAGACAGAAACTCCCAATAGCAATCAACCAAAAGGAGAACCGCCTTGAGAACCATGCTGACCTTTTCACCCAAATCCCACCATCCCATTCCCGTGCTGACACCTGGTACAAAAACAAAAAGAAGCGCGTCTCCAATTTTGCTGTTGGGTTATTACAATCAGTGATACATCTGAAGTTCACTTCTTCCTGTTGGGGAAGCTTCAAAAACTGCAACCTTTTTAGATGTTGGATCCAGGAGAGGAACCCATATGCCTAGATAAGCATATGTCAAATAGGGGATGATTGGTACTATTTGAAGATGGTGAGATCTCACCAAGAAATTGAGTGTAGTGATGAAGAAATCAAAACTTTAGTACATAGAGAGTTCAATGTTTCACCAAACACTTCTTGGCTAGGACATGTAATGTAAACACATGCTACCCACACTAAGAAACACAAAAAAATCTACCACCTCAAGTCATAATCAAGTTAACCCATAAAAGTTTTCAACTCAAAAACTACTACCCCCACCAACTACAAGCTTTTTTTTAAACCTTAAAAAGCAAGAAACTTGGAACCAACAAAAAATGGGGGACACAGATCGATCTAGCAACTGATCTCCCAGATGAAAGCAGAGTTACTACACAGTAGAAATGCTGAAGCAAGAGGAGGAATCGTTGATCCATTACCTGAAGAAGGAACTTGAAGCATCTCTTCTTAGGACTGATCTGTTGGAGAAACACAATCAAGAACTGAAACAAGAGGTCATTCATCTGAAGTCACAGATCACAGCCCTCAAAGCTCACGAGAATGAGAGGAAATCGATGCTTTGGAAGAAGCTGCAGAGCTTCAATGAAGTAACCAAGAATGATGTCTCTCAGCAGAAGCAGCAGCAACAGCAACAACACTATCTTAAAGCACCAGAAGATCAGGGTAAAGAACAACAGTTGAATTCAAGGCCTAACCCTCAAATATTAAGGCCTGATTCCACTGTGTTGCCTTCAAAAGGAGCGGTTAAAGGGTCTAAGTTACTGCCGCCACCTCCTCCCCCACTGCCATCAACAACATTAGTCGGTTCAAAATCTATTCGTCGTGTGCCAGAAGTAATTGAGTTCTATCGTATGATCACCAAGAAGGATTTGCACACTGACCCAAAGAAGAATCATGTCGCCACATCACCACTAGCATTCACACCAGACATGATAGGAGAAATCGAGAATCGTTCTACTTATCTATCCGCGGTAAGTAAAGATGCAAACTTTACCATCTTTAAACCTTAGTTTGGCATCTAAGTTTATGGATTGCAACTATGATTTTGTACAGATAAAGTCGGATGTAGAGAAGCAGAAGCAACTCATAAGTTCATTGAGCAAACAAGTGGAGTCTGCAGCTTTCAAAGAGGTATCAGAAGTGGAGGTTTTCATGAAATGTCTGGATGACCAACTGTCTTTACTCGTCGATGAGAGGGCAGTGTTGAAGCATTTCCCACAGTGGCCCGAACAGAAAGTTGATGCCATGAGAGAAGCTGCTTCCAACTACCAGAACCTGTGGAACCTAGAGTCTGAAGTTTCGGCGTATGAGGACAATCCGAAGGAGCCATTGGTCAAGGCTCTAGCAAAGATGCAAGCTTTGCAAGACAGGTTAAATTAAGCATCTTTATCCTAATTGGTAAGCACTCTGATCTGCATTCAGTGACTGATTTTTGAAGTTCGATACTTTTTTTTAACAGGTTGGAGAGAAGTGTTAACGGTATGGAGAGGAACAAAGAGAGTATGATGAAGAGATACAAGAACTTCCAGATCCCCTGGAACTGGCTGCTTAATACTGGATTCCTAGGACAGGTAATTAAGTAATTAACCATATTTGAAGAAGTAAAAGAGGTTATTGAATTGCCTGGAATCGATATCTCGAGTTGCTTGGCGAGGTTCAAAAATGGATATTATATCACTCTAATCCGCCACTTTAAGTGGAAGCTCGCCCATTAACGATTGATTAATGTTTAAACACGAGAATTCTCGAGTAGCAAACCATATTGTACCATGTAAAAGTACTAGTTTATCACAATAACTAAAGATTCAAGACTGGGTTTTATATCAGTTATTCATGGCCATGCTTGACTTCTTGGATCTCTTGTTTTTTTTTTCCAGGTGAAATTGAGTTCTTTGAAGATTGCCAGAGAGTACATGAAGAGGATTAGTAAAGAAATGCAGCTGAATCAGAACTCAGACGACAACAATCTGCTTCACCAAGGAGCTAAGCTGGCATATAGAGTCCATCAGGTAAGCTTCACAAGTAAATTAGCTCATGGAATGTTCAGATTAATCCATTTTCTTACCATTCATTCGATATGAGTCCAGTTTGCAGGTGGATTTGACACAGAAACCATAACTGCATTTCAGGAGCTTAAGAAGGCAGCCATGAATGGCCGTGAGCAATGATAGTATGCACTGTATTTATTCACAGAGTTAGGTATGTCAAATGAAACGTTATGTAATGATGAGTTAATTACGAAGCAAATATGGTGAGGCATGCAACATGTTATACGAATGTACTAAACAAAAGACCAGTTTTGTTTGTTCATCACCATATACATAATCCATGTAATTGCTCTAAGAAGCTACTGGCTCCTCATCAGTTGCGTTGGTATCGGTGTGGGAGAGGGACTAGCAGAACCTTCCTGTACACCGTGCATCCAGCCGCCCATATGTACATGGCCGGCAAAAGCTTCCCGGACACCAACACCTCCGGCGACGTGTAATCCACCATATTCCCCTGTAGTTGTCTTCCACTCTGGGGCCTGGACTCAGAGTCCAAGTTCTCCTCTTTTTTAATCCGAACACGAGGCTCAGCCTAACCCATTGGGCATCATTTAAGCCCAAATTATAAAAAGGTTCGTTAGAGGACTAGCTTTTATCAACTCATGACAAAGGAAGTGCTGCAAAGTGGCAGAGTGGCAAGGCGTTTTACTACCTAGTATGATGGGGTTAATTGCATGGTTGGTCACTATCCGGAGCGCCGACGAGAGGAGGAAGAGTGTCTATCTCTTCTATCTCATGCCGTCGAATTCGCCGGCTGCTCCGATTACAACCGGCGGGTTCTGGTCGGAATCGAGGGTTTTGTCGAAACGATTGTGGGGAAGATTGGGGAGTCGGAGATGGCGGTTAGGGTTTTGAAAAATTTAATTTGTGCAGCGGAAGGGATTTGGTTTTTTTAATTTGTGCAGGCATAGCTCCCCCGCAGAGCTCCTCTTCCTCGTCTTCCCCCAAACTCGAGGACTTCCTCGGCGGAGGACACTACGCCGCTGGCGAAGGCGGCCACCACCACGCCGGAGCTGACGACAAGGACGCCTTCCCGTTAAGCCTCGACACCTTCTACTTCAACCACCACCACCAGCCTCCGTCGGAGGAGGGAAGCAACCATCGTCAACACCTAGACCAACAGTAGCAATGCCACCAGTTTCAGACCCAGATGTTGTCATATTACTCTGGAATCCAGTGGCTTCAGCAAGCCCCCCATCCCCCGACCCTACTCCCAGTGCTGACAAGTATAATAATAATATTCATCATCAATGATTCATCATAATCTCTCCGCCACAGATTCCGATTCTCACCTCCCGTCCACATCCGCCGGCGACATCGACGGCGTCGGCACAAATGAGATCCCTACCCTCCGCCACTGCTGGGTCTCCCTCTACATCGATTCCAACCACCACCAGATCGGCGGCGGGGTTTCCCAGTACCGAGAGGTCACTATGTTTTTTTAAATGATGGTCAAGATTGGGCAGCGGAAGAGATTATATTTTTTATATTTACTTTAAATAAAAATGATAATAAGGTGAAAATGAGTTGACAATTTTACAAATTTTAATTTAATTTAATTTATTATTTTTAAATTGCCACGTCACACATTTAACGGTCAACTTTTAGAGTTGACCGCCACGTAAGCAAAAGTTAACGGAGTTGGACGGAGAGTGACCAAACGTGAACGGTTTTAGTAAACTGAAGTACCTCCAATGGATTTAAATATTTCGAGTGACCAAACTTGAACGTTTTTTGTAATTTTAGTGACCAACCATGCAATTAACCCTAGTATGATGGCTGTCGGGACGAGTGAGTATATGGTGACTATGGGGTGTCCTTAGATATGAAAACACAAACCTGACAGTTAAAACTTAAAAGTGTGAATAATTTTTTAATTAATGACAGAGGTAGTTTGGGTATTATCGAAAATTTTGAAGTATACAAATTGAATTTACAAATAGTACAAACTATACAAACATACGAATAAGACAAACTAGAGCGACAAAACATACAAACATATTTACAAACAATACGAAACATACGAACTATACAAACTAGACCGACAAACATTACAAAACATACTAACAGTACAAAATGCCACTACATACAATACAAAACAGTAAACTTGTTTTACAAATCAATGAATACAAAATATATAAATCACAACAGAAAGTATACAAACTAGACAAACAAACATTACAAATTACAATGTATACAAATTAGTCATATAAACATTACAAACATAATATATAAAAATGACAAACTAAAATGATAAACGATACAAATCGAATTGATACAAAATCACAAAACATACTTATAAACATTACAAAATCGTCCAACAAACATAACAAAACATAAGCTGTCGTTGGAACTCTCCGATCGCCAGAAAATTTGTCGGTAATCATCTCTCTCTCTCTCTCTCTCTTCCGTGCGAGGAACTCCATGGAGGGGTAATATATTTCTCAGGCCCCCTCTTTTGGTTAAAATTGCAATGGCGGCTGCCGCCTGGTACCGTAAAGAAGCGTTGGAAATTTTCTAGATCCCTGTCGGGACTCGGGATTGCTCCTACTCATAAATCTGCTTGTGGTTGGGGTTATATGAGTGTATATAATACTGAAATTTAGATTCGGTCCTGTTGGTCGGATACATTTATAAATGATATAAATAGCAATACTAATTATTCGAAGAAAAATATTTTTTCATTTGTTATCATAAAAGAGATCAAATATTTAATTATTAAAAAATAAAAAGAGAGCATGAACTATAATTTTTTATGATATGTCATTATCAAACATTTCAAAAATCATGCAAGGGAATCAACTTCTATAAAACGTGTTGAGAGAAAATGTCGATTAGAAATTACCTCTTCCAAGTAATGAATATTATTTCAGATTTATCATTTCTTGCTAATATCGATACTTTCTATCTCCACAATAAAGTGTCTCTTCTTTCTTCTCAAACCTCAAGAACATAATTATCTCACTTACCGAATGTACTGCCTTTACTAGGGATGGCAACAAAACCCGAAGCCACGGGTACCCTATCCGACCCAACCCGGTCAACGCGGGTAAAACCCGTGTTGATGGGTTTTGGGCCGGGTTTGGGTTTAAACCCGTTCACTATTCACCAGGTTGGGTTTGAGTTTAGGTAAATCCGACCCATGGGTACCCGCCCACACCCATATAATTAATTTTCTCGGTATATTTAATATTCTAAACAACTGATCTTCTTTATGTTTGTTGAGACATTCTAATTTTTTCTTTCTAATTGTCTAGAATGAAGTTGATATTATCGAGAGTGAAGAAGCTTAATTGGCAAGGAGGAAGAAGCTTTCAATTAATCATGTTGTTTATGAATAATTTGTGATTTGCTTCAATTTTCTTGAGTTTTCTAAATTGGTGTTGAACAATTTGTATGGCAAATTTGTGTTTTGCTTGAATTTTCTAGAATAGTGTTTTATATATGAATAATTTGTATTGAGATATTGATATTTGACTTTTATTTTGATAGGAACTTGTTATTGTAAATTTTTTATGACAAAAACCCATGGATACCCATGAACCCGCGGATACCTAACGTGTTGGGTTTGAGTTTTTCAAACCCAGTGGGTTTTACCTCGGGTTTTTTTTCACGAATAAACCCATGGATTTGAATTTGGGTTTGGCAAAACCCGACCAACCTTACCCATTTCCTTCCCTAGCCTTTACCATTAGAAGACTATTCGTCTTCTCCTGCACACAACTAAAAGCAAGAATTCAGTTGTATTTACAAACTAGTTTTGTGCCCGCCCGATGGGCGGCAAGTGTCATTTGTTTGTACTGTTTCTTCTATTATCTGTCATTTTTTCCAATGTTATCGAATTTCTACTTTTCATATTTATTTTTTATTGTTATCTATTATCCATATTTCATCTACTATGACGGGTGCTACATTTAATCCAGGTTTTAATCATGATTAATAATAATGTCAAATAATAAAAGTTGTATCTTCATTACCGGTTGACAAATAGTATTCATGACCATCTAATCGTTGATTGACCAACAATTTTCAACTTCATAAACATGCATAGATTGAATATGATCTCAAGATTCTTAAGATTGAGTACTCATACAATCATCCAATCAAACAAAACATGGTTAGGATTCCTCTAAACCTAAGTGAAGGAAAGTTACTCCATAGAGAATAGAGAGAATGCATAAATATTATCTAGATCTATAATCTACATCTCGAAGCTTGATTCCTAGGTCTAATGGTACATAAATCCTCCAAAACATCGCCTGGAATGTTCCCTACTTGCTCTCTCTCTAGGGTTAGTCCCTTGGGTGTTTGGATTCCAAAGGATAGAGAATTTCAAGTCAAATGGTCAATAAACGATCAAGAGATGAAGGGCAAAAAATTTATAAATGAACACTTTTCAATCTCCCCCACACTTAACTGTTCATTTACTCCCAAACAAACTTGACTCCAACAAGTGCAACTCACTAGACCTCCACAACAGAATGTGTCTTCTGATCATCAGTATTGGGCAACTAGCAACTTACGAGTTTATCTGAAGACAAGAGACTTCCCAACCATCTCAGCAAGAACACTAGTCTTGCATCGGTACAATGTCGAGTAGTAGACCTAGGATAGACAACTTGTGAATGAAGAGACTCTCTAAAATAGTGAAAATCAGGACTCGTTTTAGGTGCTCATTATTTAAAGACTCAAACTTTCGAGCTTTATTCATATTTACATTTCATTGCAACACACTTTATATTTTAAAAGTTTAAGGGCTCATTGCGTTAAGCATTATCCCACGACCAGAGTAGAAGTTACATTCACTCCTCTATCAGGCCCATGCGTGGAAGCGATGTAAGTGAGGTGTCGGAAGTTTTATCCATGTCCTCCAAACACAAATTTTCCATGTATACACTCCTCTACTTAGGGAAGGCATATGGCAGTCTGCCTAAGTTCTTGATAGGTTGCCATGACATGTGAGATTTTTCATAGCTGAGGTCTCTTGACTTGAGGAGATGATACAGTCTCTTCTCTATCAAGATTTGTGAGAAGAAGAGGTGTAAATGAGGGTGTCATAAGTTTTATCCGTGCCTCCCAGACGCAATCCTCATAAATGCACTCCAGTCCATAAGAGGAGCCTTAAACAAATGTCATAAGTGTTTTGACCAGTTGCAACATCACGTGATGCCTCTTTACATTGATTCAATTCACATTATAGATTACACATTCTCATATTATAGCACTGTTTCGAAAACATTTTAGAGTCCATATAAGCTTGAGTCTCGACACTACAGAAATCAAATGTCCTAAAACCACTAATCAACATATCACCAACATAATGTGAAAATGGAGGGGAGACCTCTCATATAACAACATCCTT